ATCGAAATGGTCGTGTGATCATTCGCAATGAATTCTACGAGGGGAAAAATTTGGCCAGCAATATTGACTACACCAGCATAATAATACACTCCTTTAGATTTTGGACATGGCCTTCTGACGACGCAACCGGTTGCGTCAAAATAAAGTTTGTTGTTCCTTTTAAGGAAATATTTAAGGAAATCTGTTGGCAACTGACTTCCCGAATAGATTTAAATATTTCGGAATTTTTTTCTAAGATATCTACAAATTTTTAAATATTGACATATTTTGCCAAAGATTGCTGTCTCCGTCGGGTCTCTTTCTAGATATGAGTTTCGCTTTGCATTGTGCATAATTGCTTAGATTGCCTCATCATCATTGAATTTCATTCTTTCTTTTCGTTTAGTTTTGCACTCAAATCACTGCGTATGCAATTAGATGTATAAATAGTAAGAGAAAATCACAACCGTTTCTGTTGGGAGAAGACGTTGCAATGATGGAAAAGAGGGGTAGTAATATAATCCTTTGCGTTCGGTATTCCGATCAATGATGATTTGCAATATGATTAGTGGATTGAATAAAACAGTTATTCCTGAATTAGGTGGAAAGAGGATCATATCAGAAGATGAGTCCCGGGTAAATTCGAAAATCGTCCAGATGTCGGTTCAGGCAAAGATTGTATGTGAGCGAACTGATTAAACCCCATTCACTGAATAAGTGAGCCGTATCATATAGACAGAGATTATATGAATTACTGATTCGATTTCTGTAAGCGAAAAAAAAAACAAAATTCACGTAAAGAGAAATCAAAATTCAAGTCGACAAAATGGTTGTTTTCTTCATTTCTTCATTTTCAGGGATAATATTCGATGTGCAACTTGTCTTTTAACTGTTTCCGGATGATTGAAAGCATGGACATTTTTTGAAAACATGTCACGTTAAATATTAGTCATCACCTAAAATTCAAATCATATTGAGTCTATATTCGACAACATCACTCAAAGATAGACTCTGTTTTTTTTATTAGAGTAAAACAGAGCATAAATGACAAACTAAGCTGTAACGAGATTTTTCTCGTTACGGGTTGAAATCCTCATTTAATGAAAAGAACCCTGTTAGCTGGACAGTGGAGATGTAAAAGCCATCTAGCGGAGGCCGAAAAGGCCTCGGATGGATAGCATGCTAGACTTTCCTCCGATGAGGGGCCAAAGGCATAGCGGTTTGGGTGGAAACTGCGACCCCTGTCGGCCCTGAGGACGTTCGTAGACTGTGCATATTTGGAGTTGTCTCAGCATGTGATAGGGAGTATTGGGGCCGACGTACAGGCCGTCCAACTGAGCAACTCCGAAGCGTTACTGACTTAGACTAGGGACCAACGGCCAGGTGAGAGGACTGGTACCCCCAGCTTAGCAACGGGAAGGGATACTTCCTCGTCCGAGTGATGCAAATCACGAGCTCCTGCATCTCCCGTGCAACATCATGTCTCGTTTCGGAGTATGTGGTGACGACCATTGTGTTTCCGGAGTGATCTGTGCCTGGACGAAAAAGGTGATGGTGTGTGGCCCGTGGGTCTGGAATCGAGAGGACTACTGTCGACCGGACATGCGCCGCCATCTTGAGTAGCCAGGGGCAGAGGCTAGTGATTGAACGGGGAAACTGGAAACCAGTAGTGTGGGTGGTCGTGAGGTCGATGGGTAGATATCCACCTTGGTCGGATCAGCCTCTTGGTGTCCCAGGGACTTCCGCTAAGCCGCAGGCGAGTATGACGTTGCTCTAGATAGGGATATCCCAGGGCAAGAGGACAGCCCCAAAAGGCCCGCAAGGGCTTCCCGGGGGAGGAAAAGCACTCCTCGGTGTGCTCAGAGTCGCGTGTGATGGCGACATCCGGCCTGGAAAGGCTGGGAAGGCTTTGGGGGTTTCTCCGGGTGGACCACACCCACTCTACCTCATCACACTGAAGCTACCTGGGCATGTGGCATGTCCAGCGGCGCACAAGCCCCTCGGGTAGCCGCACAGGCCTCGAGGGCCGGTTTCGTCAGACCTTCCGTAAAGGTCTGGCTGGCGTCCGACATTTTTAGACGCATGGACATTGGTCATAAGGGACCATTTTCCTGGGCGAAATACCCGGGGAAAATACCCTTACAAAGCATTGCTGACGAAAAACCAGGTCATCACAAAAAGATCTTCAAGTTTGTGAAACGTATTTTTTTAAAATGAAAATAAAAGAATAAGCATCACGACGAAATTTTATAAAACAAGTGGTGTGATACGAAATTTTTCCTATTTTACTTTATCCAACGAAAAATTATGTCATGCTGTTGGTTTTCACAAGGTTATACGGCAATAATAGGATTTCAAATCATGATAACCGTCTATGTATTACCTACTACGATAAAAAAACTTACCAATTGCTTCGTTTCCTAATGAAATATGCCCTGTTCAACTTTTTTGTCAGCAAACTTCAAGACGATGTTTCTTATTAATCTGACCTTTCGTAAAGTGAGAACGATGATGAGTAATTAATTTTGTTCCAAATTTAAAAAATGTATAATGGAAAGGCGTCAATAATTCCGCGGCTGTAGTCTAATTGGATAAAATGACAATTAAGAAAAAAAATGTCCTCAATTCTAAAAGAATTTTTAGTCTCACAAGAAACCCTATTAATAATATTTTGGAATCTTAAGTAAAATTTGATTAGATTGTAGATAAAGGACCAAAGTTTCTGAAGTATCCACAATAAAAAAAAGCTTAGCCTCCATATCCACACATGAATTTTAACCCCTTTTTTCTACCCTTGCTACCCCACTACCAAGGCGGCCGACGCGGTCGTAAACAAATATCTCTACGGGTGTATGCCGATCGATTATTTTTATTAATATAACCATTAACTCCTAAATTATGAAACCTTGATTATGATTACCACCGAATTATTATCGATTCATTGCGTTACCTTTGATTTTTTTAACAATAACTTGTGCTAATTATTATTGATAAAAATGAAAAATCACTTAAACTAAAAATTTTATTCTTCTTCTAAATTTTAATTGTTTTCCTAAATTCCATCAAATTACCACCTAAACTGTTATGAAATGAACACTTTCAAAAATTAATAAAAAAAAATCGATTTCTTCCAAATACACAATGCCTAGAATTCCTCCCCAGACACGTGAAAATTACATTTTTTCACTCCCGCCCGGCGGCGCGTCCGCAACGTGTACATTAAATTTGAGTAGGAGGCATTCCACACTATTTCAAATAGCCAAACACTACTTTTGTCGATTTTTCTGATATGCTGTAGAAGAGGTCCAAAAACATATGTAACTGGAAGGAAATTTTTTTTTATTTCTTCCAAAGTTCTACAGAATACAAAATCGTAGGCGCTTCGGGATATGTAGTTGTTTATAGCATAACGTCAAATATAGCAACTCGATAAATATTGCGCTCTGACGCAAAATGCGCAACCAAGTAAATCTTGTATTCTTTGGGAATTTCTCCTTGGGATTTTCCCACATTCAAAATTTTCCCGTCCTCGTAGGTCCGCAAATTCCTTTATTTTCCTCCAACACCTTTCCTTAGTTTATGATTATTGCCCTAGTCTCTTAATAATCATAAACTAAATCTTTACTTTCATGGCTCACATTTGGTGACCAAAATGCATAGATTTTCCTCAATCATTCTTTACTTTTTACTTCTAAAATCCCTGGATTGCTTTACGACTGGCCTAATCCTCAACGCGTAATTTCCTCACGTCCACCATTACGATCGCTCATAAAAACCAAGACCTAGCACTACCCTTCCCTCTGACTTACTAATTCAATCGGACCCTTTGGGCCTCGTCCTCCACACTTCGCCCTTCTTATTACCTTCTACCTTCTTCCCCTCAGCAATAATTCCTCCAGTTAAATTGCTTTCTCAATTTGCAACCCACCAACAGCCAATTAGTTCACTTATTCCTACCCCTTTCAAAGTTTCCTTCTCAAATTTCCTTACCTTTCCAGAAATCAGTTCCTTCAAAGAGTTCATCGTGAAGGGTTTTATCTTCTACTTCCGCGTCCCCCTATCCAAAATATCTTCTACGAACTTAGTTAACTTGTAACATCAGTGTGTTATAAAAAATATATAATTCGTTTTAGTATCAGTGATTGTGTTCTTTGATTATTATTTTATTGACTATTTGCCCTTCTCACAGTTCGTGTCGAACGGTAACTTTCATTCGAACATATTGGTTGTATGGGAAAAATAATGGAATACTTTTTTATTGCAAAAAAGTGATATATACACGCCACAATTTCATTTTGATAGTAAAGTGCAAGTTAAAATCCTTTTTTTAAAAAACAAATATAAAAATTGTAAAAGAAACCGGTTTGCAGGTTTTTAAAAATATGAAAAAAATGTACGTGATACCGTCCTTGTCTGAGAATGGATGGTTAAATTTTAAAAGGCTGTTTCGACGTAAGTCCTGATATCCTTATCATGAAAGCAGAGATAGGTAAATGAAGTTCGCCTGAGTCGAAACTCATAAGGCTGATTCCCTATTGGTCAACTGGAATCCGAAGTCAAAATTCAAATTTGGCGCACGGAGTGCGCAGTAGATCTCGTATTAATTATTTAATGGGGGGCCGAAATGTAAGATGCAGTGGTACGATCACTGCACCAAGCAAGTCGCATCAACACGTCTACGACGTTGAACGGATGTTTTCGGGTAGTAGAAAGTTAATATGCAATTATTTATACAAGAGAATTTATTCTCTTTCTAAAGAAAATTTTGAAAAGTATAAAAAAACTCGAATTTGTTAAGTTCTAAAATTGCAGGGAATTCAGTAAAAATATCCAACAAAGTTCAATTGTAGAAATTAACCAATAAGCATTTTTCTGTACTTTTCAAAATTTTATTTAGAAGAAGAATAAATTTCGATCTAAATAATTGCCTGTTAATTTTCTAGATACTTAAAAGATTCGCTCAACGTCGCAAGCATGGTGATAAGACTTGTTCAGCACAGTGATTTCACCACTGCTTTTTTTTTTAATGCTTATTTTACATCGCTTCGAGTCGGAGGAGACTATGTGGCGATTGATCAAGACCTTCTTTGAACCTGGTTAGATCTCACCAATCTACCCGGCCAGGAATCGAACCTGGAACCTATTGGGGACGCTATAAATGAATGCGATATCTAGTGGACATAGCCCACACTGAAAAAAATGGCCGTTCGATGGTATCTGACGTGCGCTCCATTTGTTTAGTTGCTTTGATCAGTTGCTCCGAAAAATGGAGTACTCATTGGAAAATAATTCGGTACAACGCAAAGTGAAAATATTCCAGAAGAAATGTTGTGCCAGAGGATGTTTCAGTACATCAGTGAATCATCCAGAATTGAGTTTTCACGTCATTCCACAACCAAATCGAAAATATTCACTCATAGATCCGAATGACCTCCAAAGTGCAATCGAAATTGATGTACGAGAAACTTGGATTAAATTATTGAAGCCGGAGAAAATTGTGAAAAATTCGCGAGTGTGTAGCTTACATTTCTCACTCGATGATTTTGTGTTCCCAGGTGAGTTTTTAGTCTCAAGTGGTTAAACAGATGCACTTTGACTTTGACTTTGACACAATTTTTCAGAGTTCGCTCTGGAGTGTGGAATGTCCCGACGGAGATTGAAAAAATATGCTGTCCCGACTCAACATTTACCAGTATGTGATGCCCAGGATCAGCAAAATCAGGAGAACTTGAAAGAGGCGTACATATCACCCTCTCTAAGGGGTAGCACGTCACCATTCCAACGAATCGCTACCTTAGAGGAAAATATCAATATAACGCCAGTCGCAAACGAATCTAGATCTCCTGGGAGACGGGGAAATACGTCAAAATTCGAGGTTACGGCTTAGCATTATTTTTTTTTTCATTGACTAATTTCATGTTGAGTGGAATATGTCCCAATGAGTTAATTATGTAAATTATCTTGGGAACAAGTGACCGCAGAAAAAAATGTCCAGAGAGACCTGTATTGTAGATGAACTGATTTCCAACGGAAAATGTCTTTCAACATTCTCTTCTCAATTCAATAATCCTCAAGATGATTGAATTTTTAGGTGACCGAAACCGATGGAGGAAAGCATGCAGTTAAATGTGACTTGTATTCGTTATTCGATGCAGTCGAGGCAGTTGTCTGTGACAATGAAATATGTCGTCAAATGTTATCTCCACAAGGACCGTTGGAAGGAACAATCACTGATCATCTATACGCAGATGAAAATGATCCACCAAATAGTGATGCGAGTGTACAAGTATCAGCGGAGGATTTAGCGTCATTTTGGAGAAAAAAGTCTGTTGATGTTGGCATTCAGGTGAAATCTGGAGACTTTTACGAGCCATTTAGCACGAGGATTTCCACAGATCATGATTTATCTGTCCTCTGTGGAATTAGAAATCATCGCATTCTCGATAAATTAGTTCAACTAATTATGAGGTTTTTTCCAGAAAAACGACCTCATAAAATGCCGTTAAGGGACCGAATTATTTTAACGACGATGAAATTGAAAAACGACTTGACATTTTCCTTCCTCACAATCATTATGCGATGTGTGGCTGAATCAACGTGTCGAGCTATTTTCTTAGACACTTTACAAAAACTGTCGACAATTCTAAGGTGTGTAATTCGATGGGTCCCCAAGGAAGAAATCACCAGAAATATGCCTCTCGCCTTCGAGAATTTTGAAAACACAGTGTGCGTAGTGGATTGTACTGAATTCAAGATTCAGAAACCTAAATGTCTAGCATGCCGTCTCAAAATCTATTCGCAATATAAAAGTAATTTCACTGCTAAATTTATGACTGTGGTCAGTCCTGCAGGACTTTTAATATATTTGAGTGAAGGATATGGAGGGCGTTCTTCAGATGGTGCAATCTTTGAAGCCAGTAATATAACCAGTCGATTACAACCAGGCGATGCTGTTATGGCTGATAAGGGATTTCGAATCGAAAATTTGTGCGATAAATTTGGCATACAATTATACAGATCGGCGTTTTTAGAAAGGAAAAAGCAATTTTCCACGGAAGAAGCAATATTAAACCGCAATATTGCCGCTGCACGTGTGCACGTAGAACGGATGAATCAAAGAATTGAAATATTCGATGTGCTAAAAAATGAATTGTCATGGAATCTGGTAAACTATGTGAATGACATTGTAATTGTATGTGCAGGGCTCGCAAATTTAGGTACACCTCTTTTTGCTGACGATAAATTAATGTAAATTATCTGGTTATTTAATTGACAATAAATAAGCCTCTGATAACAATGATTGTGCTATGCAACAACTAAATATTTATTTCGACAAGTTATTATACCGACTAATTTTTCCCTCATGACTTTCTCATTTTTTTCACACAACAATTGTCATGTTCATTTTTCTGACAAATAACATGTAACATTTTTTCAAAATAAACACTTTTCAATTTTGTCAACAAATTAGTTGCGAAAGATTCATCGTAAGTTGCTGGTATTACCGCGATACCATTAACTTTATCGGAGTAAATAACAAAATCACATGCTTTGAGATTCAGTAATGCAAGTCCAAATTGTACTTGACCATAATAACTATGTTTTTGTTTTAACTGAAGCCTTTTATCCTTATAGATGAGATAATTACAACATTCTAACAAAGTTTCAGGTAATAAATCTGGCAGATCCCATGGACATTTTATCTCTATTAACGTACAAGGCTTTTGGGCTTGCATTACGATTCCGTCAGGAGAATAAGCGAGCCAAGGATTATTCTGAGAAATTATGAGTCCACAACAGAATACATCACAATTTTTCCACTCTTGGTATAACATTCTTGCTCTAGGTTCCATTTTTAATCCATGCTTGACAAACTTATTTGAAAATTCACGTGGCCAGAAGTAATTAGAGGCTTTTTCAGCCCAATTATCCTTCGAATAGGTGTAAAGAGAATAGCATCGACTACCAGTTATACGAAACTGTCTTTCTTTCTTCCAAAGTAATTGATTGGAGGTAGTGGCTTCAGCTATTTTCAATACATCAGTCGTATTGACATTAGTGCGATATTCGTGCATACAGCATTCTGCCACTTCCACTGATACTCGTGCTAGTGCAATGAGAGAGGGGGATTCGTGAACATTCGTTAATAGTACTTTGAGGGTTGCATTATTGAATGGTAGAACGTTAGATACAGGCACACGGATGGGAGTTTTTCTCATGCGTCTTTTATGCTTAGCCATGGCAGAATTTACATCACATTCCAACAACTCCATGCACACAGTTGTTTCGTCTTTTTCACAGAGCTTTGGGATTGTTTTCTGTGGAAAACAACACATAGAAGTAAAGGCTGTGGGTTTGTATTGTGCGAGAGCAGACCCTTTTAATTTACGCCACGTGCATTCCTTATCTGTACATGATACAAACTCCAAGGTCATCAGATAATTTCTAGCAAAGCATTAAATACGTGGTGAGAAGGAAAAAATATGAAAACAAATTTCACCATGGAGAAAAACATACGTACTGGGTGCGGTATAGTAAGACAGAAACGATGTGCTTACAACTTTGTCCCAACCCTGCTTTACAGGTGCAAGACATCTGAGAGATTGATGTTGACTGTGTTGTAGGCTCAATATTAATTGTACCCGTAACTTCATGTGGTTTCTCTCTCAAGCCACTAGTTTGTAAACATAAACAAAATAAAATGACGCGATGGGAGGTTTTTGACGATGCACCGCAGAGAATCAAATTCTTCGATTTGAGCACTCGTTCGCCTTCTCTAATATTTTGTGATGTTGGTGTGCTATTAACATACTCGAAAATCTCTCCTACCGATAGTGTCAACATCGTTATTTGGAATTATAACTAAAGGAACGAACTGGTATGGACAGACCTGCTGTCGCTAGTTTGTATGAGTTTGAACGCATAGACCATCAGCAGTATGTAATTAGCCGCAAATTATCAACAATTACAAAAACAAACTCATACAATCGATTGTAAATCGTTCGCAGGTGATTGTAAAAAAGGTCATAATGTTTAAGAGTAGATAGTTTTTTTATAAAAAATAAAAAACTTATGACCCATGTAGTTAGCCGCATTTTTTTTCTAATCACTCTTAAATGATTTTTTTTATTGTAATCGTTTGCAATTCGTTTGTAAATACTATATTCATTTGAATCGACGTTTAAGAGTCATTAGTCTGGAAATTATCAGCAATAAACGTGATTGCAAAATTGCGTGGAGGGGATAAGACTTTGCAAGTATGACGGCGCATGCGCAACTATTCAGAGGATTTTTCTGTTATACGCTCAAAAATAGATTAATGTCTTTCTCACTTTAATTTTGAAAGATTTCACTACGACTGTCTTTTAATTGAACATTGAGTGACACATCGAAACCATTGTACTTTTTGTAAGTACATTAATAATTATAATAACTTGTTCACTAATGGGTGATATTTGGAGAACAATTATCGTTCGAGTAATCCCTGGTTATTCCCACCCAAGCAGAATATGGGCTGACAGAACCCCATAACATTTGTCATGAGACATTGGTTTAACACTTCTGTTTAACAAAAAAACGTAAGGATTGAATTCAAGGTTTTTGCCCAACCCTAACTGGGTTCATGAAATTCACAGCATAAGCTGTAAGCTTGGGTGGGAATAACCAGGGATTACTCAAACGATAATTGCTCTCCAAATGTCACCCATTAATGAACAAGTTATTATAATTATTAATGTACTTACAAAAAGTACAATGGTTTCGATGTGTCACTCAATGTTCAATCAAAAGACAGCCGTAGTGAAATCTTTCAAAATTAAAGTGAGAAAGACATTAATCTATTTTTGAACGTATAACAGAAAAATCCTCTGAATAGTTGCGCATGCGCCGTCATACTTGCAAAATCTTATCCCCTCCACGCAATTTTGCAATCACGTTTATTGCTGATAATTTCCAGACTAATGACTCTTAAACGTCGATTCAAATGAATATAGTATTTACGAACGAATTGCAAACAATTACAATAAAAAAAATCATTTAAGAGTGATTAGAAAAAAAAATGAGGCTAACTACATGGGTCATAAGTTTTTTATTTTTTATAAAAAAACTATCCACTCTTAAACATTATGACCTTTTTTACAATCACCTGCGAACGATTTACAATCGATTGTATGAGTTCGTTTTTGTAATTGTTGATAATTTGCGGCTAATTACATACTGCTTAGACCATCGGTCGTCCATCTTTTTATGGCGATGACAGCGCCGCCATCGGTAGATAGCGAGCCCAATCCGTTGTGAGGCAACGGCCTTAACCACTACACCAGGCCGCCGGATCTCAGCACTGCATTTTACTTTTCACCGCCTCATTTAATAATTAATATAATTAATATTAAATAATTAATATAAAAAAAAAGTATTTTAAATTTCTCTTGGCTACAAAAATGAAATTGTAAAATAATAAAAAAAATAAAATAGAAAGCGGTCACGGGACATTACATAGCCGATAATCGTTATTATTATGCTTGTAATAAGGATGAAAAGCTTGAAAAACTGCTTTGAGAATCACTTCATCCTTATGACTGTTTTCTACATATTTGTAGTATCTTTAATTGGTTTTTCTTCAACTTCTCAGCCATATCATAACATTTATTTATTTCTTTATCTTCCCAACTTAAACGAATCAGACAATGTTCTCATATGCAGTTCAGTCACCGTTCGTGTATGAAACAAAATTCCTTGGATATTTTCCTCACAAATTTCAAGCAATTAAAAAATACTGCAAGAATTAACCATTTTTTTGAAATCGTGCTTGATTGTTCAGACATTGTTAGGGCATATTGTAAAATTCATCTCCTGGCCGCGGCCAACAATTTTAGTTATAGTCCAAATTTGAATTCTGACATGATTTTCTATTTTGCAGAAAACGATACGTCTATCATTTCCATGCACCAGAAGGTCCAGGGATAAACACTCCAATGACAATAGATACCTCTGGCACTTGGTTCAGGCGAGAAGGTCTTGCCAACCATTACATATGTGGTCGTTCACCTAGTTGCGATGCAGACGAACCCTCTACTGATAATCTGGACGTTGATGAAGCTTTTTTCGAAAAAAACATTTGGCCTTTACTTGGAAATCGAGTTAACTCTTTCGAAAATTTGAAAATTGAGTCATCCTGGGCTGGTTACTATGATTATAACAAATTTGATGAAAATGGAATAATTGGTCCACATCCTTACTTTGATAATATGTACTTCGCTTGTGGATTTAGTGGACATGGCATTCAACAGGCGCCGGCTGTTGGTCGGGCAATAGCCGAGTTAGTAGTTTATTCAGAATTTAGAACGCTCGATTTAAGTAGATTAGCTTTTGATAGGCTTATATCACTTGAACCCATGCAGGAAGTACATATAATTTAAAAATTTAATTTTATTGTAACAAACATGATCAGTGAAATTGAATAAATTGGATGTTTTTCGGTTATTAATTTTTTTATTCTGTCTTATAAAATCTCAGAAATAATTAATTTATCACTTGAATTGCTGAGGTGGGGGTCCAAAGATACTTCCACTCTGCTTACTGGCCGTTCTTGAAGGAGCAAATCCCAATATTTTTTGGATATTCTTTGGAAAAATTTTAAAAATGTAAAAGAAGTTTTTTTAATATTATCAACGTCGTTAATAGAGCAGACGGAATATATATGCGATTTACCTGGCGTATGCTCATGGTGCAGAGAATATACAAAAATATGAAAGAACACTCTGTATAATCATCACCAGATAAACTCCTATGAGATAAACCCTGAATCCAACTAATCGGGACGAATGGCAGTTTTGCAACAATTTTACCATCAAATATACTATTGAACATACTCAATAAAGCTGTAAAAGCAAAACCAATGGCAAACATTGATTTCATTTTGACCAAAGATAAATCACGATTGTTGTTTTTTAATCTTTCCTCTTCTCGTTCAATTTTCTTCTTCTGATGTTTGTCTAAAGAGTCTCCATGTGCTTCTTTCCGCTTTTCAACTAAAAAACATTTATTTGTCATGAATTGATATTTAATCACTACAAATTAAGAAATGGAAAAAATAGCATGCTATACATTAAAGGGGTTAAGAGTGTTTGGTCATTATACATATTCAAAGTTTGTTTTCGTCATATTTACACGGAAAGTTCGATTTAAATTCCCAAGTGACGGGAATAAAGAAAGTGGCCGTGTAGTGATGACGGAGAGAACAATGTGTACCGAGGAAGAGAAACAGGACATTCTAACACGCGTGTGTATTACCGAGCCGTCCTCTTTTCCACCCTTGCTGCGCAATATATTATTTCCTGCGTGCAGTCCACAACGAAAGTGGAAAACGCCTTAGGTACAGTCATTTCTAAAACGGAATGACACGCGGGCGGTAACTCATTGGAACGTAGAGTCACAGAGTGGAGGAAACAGGGCCTGGCCATCCGATAGACATGGCACAAGTCCGAAATTTGAATTATGCAAAATCCATAGTTACAGAATCGGGAATTTAGCAACGATGGAAAATCTGGTTACTCTTCCCCGTGATCAAAATATAAAGGGAACAACAAGAGTCTGATGTGGTAAACTCGTTGAACGATATTCAAATAAATTATCTCTTTGCCTGAGTCGAAATTTATTAATTTACAAAAATTCTGGGGATGGATTGAGCAGTCGTGATGGTATTTTCGATATAATAAAGTCGTATTATCGACATATTTGGCAATACCTTTTCTATGCTCCTACTTATTACTGGGTAAGTGCGTTCCAATATAATTAAACGCGCAGTATAATAATAATGCAAAAATTTTTAAATAGTGAATGTTAAATACGGATTTGCCATTTGAATAAATATTAAATTTCTACTAAAGTATGTAAGGTTTGGAATTCATTTGCATGAAATATAAAGTCGAGTGGATAACCCAAGAACGAAGTATTGAATGAATACTGAAACCTATAAAGGCCTGTTTAATTGGTTAGTGAGAATTGGGGTAATTAATAATACAATATAATATTAAGCGAAAAACGAACTCAATTATAATCAAAACTACAGTTTTTACTCCTTTTTCGCTTGGTATTTCGAACATTGCCAAAAAAGCAAAACTCTCCCTTCGGACTATTAATACTATCATAATCGATCACATTATCCCTCTTCTTTGTGAGTTCACTCCCCTTCTGCCTTCCTTATTTCGTTTATTCTACGACTTGAAAAGTGTATACACGTCTAATTGTGGAGTGTTGAAGATATTTATATTGCGTTAACCTTATTATCTGTATAAAAGCTCTCTCTGACTCAATCCCACATATATCCCAGCTGTGGTGGGTACTTACGTTTTTTACTTTGTTTCTCGACCTCTGTTTTCAATTTCTGGTATTTTTCTGTTCTATAAACCATTAACCATGTTAAACCTGGAAAGTTAAGTGTTTAGTCGTTTATTTATAGAACCATGCAGTTGATATTTTACACACACTGGAAAAATGCCATGACCGTCATTAACACATAATACACTATTTCGTCAATTGAAAGACGATGGTGATAAAATTCATGCAAGATAACATTTCCTACCTTCACCCAACAATGCAGTACAAATGCTGATAAATACGATAAGTATTGTATCAGCCCACATATTGATACAAGTTGTTATTTTTTTTTATATCATTATATATACATTAAACTAAGAACAATGGCATTCGGATAAGGTTAAACTGCAAGGGAGATTGCTGTAACTTATGGAGAGGCTTCAGCAAACGGCACTATGCATTTAGAAAAAATATAATTTTTTAATTAACTTTTTAAACTTTTTTCTTCATAAATTTTTAGGTAGTAATTTGGTGGAATTTCGGAGAACATAATTCGAATTTCGGAGTAATTAGTTTTTGTTTAATGGATTTTCCTTTTTTTACAATAACAATGAGCAGAAGTTATGATTAAACAATTCAAAAATAATTACAACCGATGGAGAATAATTTGGTAGTCATTATAATCAAGGTCTCATAATTTAGGAGTTAATGGTTTTATTAATAAAAATTAAAAAGGTACTTTTTTTGCGTGCACTATATAGTAAGAACACTTGCGCATGCGTTGTAGGCTTAAGGCAGAGATAATAGGGGAGATCAGCAGCGCTTATGGCAAAGGTTCAACATGAATATTTCCTTGCGGCGACTGCGGAACTAAAACAGAGACCGTACCCGTGAATAAGGCAGGCTACGAGGCCGAGAGTGTTGATAACGGCATCCGAGAGGTCGAGATAGAGTGGGTGGAAAGAAGGAGAGTAGGAGGCGAAAGTGGGGAATCTTCACGGGCGAAAAATAAGTGGGGAACATCAAAGCGCTAAGTAGACTCTGACTAATCCGTCCGCCAATTAAAAATCCATTTCTTCTGTCCTAATGAATATTATGGAATGGAACAAGCGGTACTCGATTCGAAATTGAATCGTCCATCCACCAACACCCATTTCATCCCTTAATCGCTGTAACAAAAAAATAAATACATTGATGAAAGTCACCCCGCCGAGGGGAACCCAGCGGTTTCCCAGCGCCGAGTGGTCTCCGACTAATCCGTCCGCTAATTAAATATTAATCTCTTCTCTCCTAATTATTATTGAGGGATGAAACAAGCGACACTCGATGGGAAATGAAATCTTCCAGCCATTGACACCCATTTCACCCCTTAATCTCTGTAAGGAAAAAAGAAAAACATTGACGAAAATGAAAGCGCTCTGGTAAACCGCATGGTGGGTTTGTTTACTCTCTCTTTCTCTCTCATGTGTTCTCAACAAACACATACTCCATTCCGGGAATCGACGGATGGAGTATTAGGCGCGTGTGAGAGCGAGAGAGCGAGGAGATAACTCCTCCACCGCCCCGAACAAAATTTGCGTCCTATTCGGCTTTTTAGAATCGCGAAAGATTCTTTAGCACTATATGCTTGACAATGTCTTTTTTCAGATTAAAACAAAATTCTACTTTTTACTCTCTTGGACGAAATCGATGAATTATGTTTGATGAAAACATTCGTCACTTCATAACCCCTAAAAACGCACACATCACGACAAGAAATTTTCCTCGGCGGACGGATTTCGCGGAGACCACTCGGCGCTAGGAAACCGCTGGGTTCCCCTCGACGGGGTGACTTTCATCGATGTATTTATTTTTTTGTTAAAGCGATTAAGGGATGAAATGGGTGTTGGTGGATGGACGATTTAATTTCCCATCGAGTACCGCTTGTTCCATTTCATAATATTCATTAGGACAGAAGAAATGGATTTTTAATTGGCGGACGGATTAGTCAGAGTCTACTCAGCCCTCTGATGTTCCCCACTTATTTTTCGCCCGTGAAAATACCCCACTTTCGCCTCCTACTCTCCTTCTTTCCACCCACTCTATCTCGACCTCTCGGATGCCGTTATCAACACTCTCGGCCTCGTAGCCTGCCTTATTCACGGGTACGGTCTCTGTTTTAGTTCCGCAGCCGCCGCAAGGAAAAATACACGTTGAACCTTTGCCATAAGCGCTGCTGATCTCCCCTATTATCTCTGCTTAAGGTAGGAGGAATTGATTTCATACTTATATTATTATTGATTTTTTCCGACTTTTTCCTTAATAAATACTTGGGTGGTATTTTGGTGAAATTTTGAAGACAATAATTACACCCTAGGAGTCATTGGTTTCAAATAAATAATTAATTTAGTAAAGTATGGAAATGAAAAAAAAAATCATAACATTTTTTTTTTACGAATATGGGTTTGATGAAGAATCATTTGGTGGTCATGATGATTCAGGTTTCAGAATTTAGGAGGTGATGATTTTTCATTAAAAAAAGCCAGTAATTTCCTGGCGTCTCACATTTTGATTGCGTGCGCATGCGTGGCATATGTCATATAATGAGGAGTTTAAACCTATTTTATGTGGCATCAGTCATATATTTCTGTATTAGAATAATTACTTTCGTTCAATCAATCAATAATCTAAAAACCGATTGGTTTTTCACGTCATGTTTAAAAATTGAATTATGAAGAATTGTGTGACAGAAGTCATGTTCAGTCGTTTTGTGTTAAAACTGTACTTTATTGTTCCAAGCTGTATTAGCGCTGTAATCAACGCGAATGTCCAATTGTGTTTTTTGTCCTTTTCTAATCATCTTAGCTCTACTCGTCTTTACCAAAATCTGTAGACACTTAATTGTAACTAATTCTACCAATTAATGACCAATGAGTCAACTAAGCACTGAAGATGAAATTTTTGACTTTGCCGTGTTTCTCGAAGATTTTCCATTTGTATACAAAGTGGAAACTGTATTAAAGGTAACCGAATGGAAAATGTGAGAAGGCCGAATGCATTTTTTATGTGAAATTTTTAACGTTGACCTACATCTATTTTTGTCTCATAAAAATTTTATTCTGATCTCATTACCCGTGTTAGGTAATTTTTATTTTTTCTCCGGATGTCGATGAGATACAATGAAAACCGGAAGAATGATCTGACAGATTTACAGAAATGATGGTTTTATAATAACAAATTAATTATGGACGTCGTTGTACGAAAGTAAAACAAGTCTGCCATGAATTGAATTCAATATCAATAATGGAATCATTTAAATTGTTCGAAATGCTGATTGGATCTCGTGGAATATATTCCCTTCGAGGACACCAAACTTCGTTGATAGAGGTTTTTTCATAATGATATTCTGCATTCTTATCGTTCTGTACTTCTAGAGTGTAAATAAAAGAGAAAACGATCATTACATGTCATAAATATGGTGAAAATAAAAATGTCCAAAACTATGATGAGTGAACTTGCCTGCTATCTAACTTCCTCATATTGCAATAATTCGGGATATCATACACTACAAAGAATCATCGGTGAGACACGGTTGAAGAAGTATGCTCATTATATAGAAGAGTTTAGTTTTTTAGATGTGAACACGGTGCAAGACTCAATTACACACTCCGATCTTTTTTCTCTACACATTCGAAAAGTTGAACATGCGTAGAATCAAGAGTTGCTAGTTGATGTACATCACATTAGCCACTCAAGTTGATAATTATGACCTATGCCACGCATGCGCACGCAATCAGTATGTGAGACGCCAGGAAATTACTTTTTTTGTTCATGAAAAATCATCAACTCCTCAATTCTGAAACCTGAATCATGATGACCACGAAATGATTCCTCAACAAACCCGTATTTATAAAAAAAAGGTATAATTTTTTTTAGAATTGCCATACTTCACTAAATTAAGTATTTAATTGAAACTAATGACTGCTAAATGGTAATTATTTTCTTCAAAATTCCACCAAAATATCACCTAAATATTTATTAAGGAAAAACGGACAAACCAATAATAATATAAGTATGAAATCAATCCCTTCTACCTTAAGCCTACTACGTGAGCGCAAGTGTCCTTACTATATAGTGTGCGCAAAAAAGTACGTTTTTAATTTTTATTCATAAAACCATTAACTCCTAAATTATGAGAACTTGATTATACTGACCACCAAATTATTCTCCATCGGTTGTACTTCTTTTTGAATTGTTCAATCATAACTTCTGCTCGTTATTATTGTAAAAAACGCAAAATCCATTAAACAAAAATTAATTACTCCCAAATTCTAATTATGTTCTCTTAAATTTCACCAAATTACCACCTAAATATTTACGAAGAAAGAAGTTTGAAAAGTTAATTAAAAAATTATATTTCTTCCAAATGTACGGTGCCGGCCAAAGAGGATTGACGAAAGTCGAGGCTCTGTTCTCGGGGTTTGAGTGACTCCAGCGATAACGTAGTTGCAGCCCACGGGAGTGAGGGCGCCACGAGCACTACTGGGGTGAAATAATTAAACAAATTCGGGAAAAATTGTCTCGCAAATGTATACTCAAACGATTGAGAATCGTCTGGAACGTGGAGATTTATTAGTGCCTCGGAACTTTTTTTTTTAAACGATATCTTTTTTGTTAACAAATTCAAAAATGATTAAACAAATTCGGGAAAAATTGTCTCGCAAATATATATTCAAACGATTGAGAATCGTCTGAAACGTGGAGATTTATGGGTCCCTCGGAACTAATAAATCTCCACGTTTCAGACGATTCTAAATCGTTTGAATATATATTTGCGAGACAATTTTTCCCGAATTTGCTTAATCATTTTTGAATTTGTTAACAAAAATAGAGCCGTTGAAAAGAAAGGGTTCCGAGGGACCCATAAATCTCGACGTTTCAGACGATTCTCAATCGTTTGAGTATACATTTGCGAGACATTTTTTCCTGAATTTCTTTAATCATTTTTGAATTTGTTAACAAAGAAGATATGGTTTTAAAAAAAAAGTTCCGAGGGACTAATAAATCTCCACGTTCCAGACGATTCTCAATCGTTTGAGTATACATTTGCGAGACAATTTTTCCCGAATTTGTTTAATTATTTCACCCCCGTAGTGCTCGTGGCGCCCTCACTCCCGTGGGGTACAACTACGTTATCGCTGGGGTCACTCAAACCCCGAGAACTGAACCTCTACTTTCGTCAATCCTCTTTGATCGACACTCTCGGTTTCACGCTGTGCCGAATTATCTACACTCTGGGGCTCGCGCTCTCTCTTATCCATACTGACGGGCTCTGAGAATTATCGACACTCACGGGCTCTCGACCTGTTTTACTTACAGGTACGGGCTCTCGATCTGCTTTACTTACAGGTACGGGCTCTGAGCCTGTTGAAGGTTTTGTACAGGCGCTGGCAATCTCCCCTATAATCTCTGCTATTACAATGTTATACAATGGTCCTACTCCCAATTCCTCCCTAATAACCGAAAACACCATACTGGGTGCAACTACGAGTGTCTGCGCATGCGCCAATGTAAACACTATAGACCTTTTTTAAATTAATTAAAATGTAATGAATAATTACGTGTAAAAGAATGAAACTAAGGTATTTATTATCTACAAATGATTTGTTTTCCATTGGTTAATATTATTTCGGTCTACAAATGGAAATTAGTGGGATGGGGTGCTAACTTCCGGTCATTATTTTGTTTAATTAATTAAAAAATAATGAAGGGTCTACAAAATTTTTTAATCGTATTGCAATGATGTACAAAGGTCCTATTATTGATCGAAATAAAAAAACTAATGAACTTTCAATTATGTGGTGCTAACTACCTGGCACCAACTGAGCCTTTACTTTAGTCAATCCTCTTTGTCCCACACAATCGCTCGTGGCGCCATCACTTTCGCAACTTGATATTCTTCCTATCATGGGGTGCCAAAACTCCGAGACTTGGGTCTCTATATATATTTGAAGCTCTCCTCTCGGCTATTGTCTGTGACTTGAGTACTGAAATTCCACGGTAAGCTGATTTGGTTTTCAATTGTTTAGACTCCTTTTCTTTGATACAGACCAAGGATAGTTATTTAAGAAAATAATCGAGACATTAAGTGAATTCGAAAAAGCTAGGAGAAATCACAAATACAATGAGTGAAATCAAGGGTACATTATTTCGAGGTATTGACTCGTGTTAAACCTTATGTTCATCAAGTTTATCCATCTGATTACATAAAAGGTTTGCCGAAATTGCATATCCATTTTTCCATGAGACTTCAGGATCTGCATTTTTTACTTTTTCGGAAATGATCTCGATAAAATCGAGAGGGGCGATGGGGTGGTGGTAGGTAGATGTAGGTAGTAAAAAGTATTTTAGGTAGATCTTTACGAAAGCTTATTTCGGAGTTCTATATTTTTTTATCTTGATGTGAAACATTTCTATTCATTCGATTTTGTTTGATGACACGTCCGATCTTTACGTTTTCTACCGTTCATAGGTGAGTGGAGTGTGAAATGCATCTTCTGGGTAAAATACAATTAGTGAAATTTTCTAACTGTCTAATAATTACATGGATCATGACAGTTATTTTTTTACTGTACTCTTTTTTTTATTAATGTGTTTTAAATCTCAGATGATATTTATATGCTGAAGAAAACTCCCTTGAGGTTCTTTGTCAGTTAAAATTTTGAGGTTACACTCTTTTGAATATAGTACCTATATGAATAATTTGTGTATCAGTAGAATATGGGAAGTTTATTGAATGGTTTTTTTGAGAAGAAATTGACAATGAAAGCCACCAATAAATATCAAAAGACGATCCATATTGATTTTTTTAGACAAATAACTGAAAGGTCGAAATTCAAAACAAAAAAATAGATCTCGCCGTTATCTCACCACGAAGTGAATCTGAAAAGTTGCGGAATGGGTAATACTTGTTTGCGAAAAATTGTTGCGAAAATCGATCAGTACCGATTTTTTGTAAATCAAGAATTTCAATTTGAAATTTGAAAATCTTATAGAAGTACAGTCCTGATAATTTTTCTGATGTTTTTGTTAGATACAGCGTTCAAAAACAAAAATTAAAAAGAAGAAACGTTCAATTTGGTCCATTTTCCATATAGTTATGGGAATATTTACAAAATTTCAAAATTTTTCGAAAATCATCATCTCGAAAACTTCAATAAAAAAATTTTAAAAAATTGTGGAGACATCCTTTTTTATTCGTGTGGTTGGAAAAACCCTACCCCCACAGTCTGGAAATATACTATTTCCTCCGGGGTGCACTTTCCAATTTTTGATTGATTCTAATAAATCCAATCATGGCGAAAAATTAAAAAAAAAATGGCTTAAATCCTGCTTAGTTTTGAGAGATTTCTCAAAAACGGCGCGATCGGCCGCGCTGAATCTGGGTTCAGGCTTAGCCTCAACTCTTATCTATTATCTGACAAAATTTCAAATTTTTTGGAGGTATTAACGTACAGTAATAGTGGTGAAGCCCACCAGTATCAATGATGTTCTCCGCCCCCAAACGGGAGAAAAAAAAAGGTTTATGTCGGGAGCAACACGTAGGATCTTTTCCGAGGAACATTCCAATACACTTCGGTCACAATCAAATTTCATCGAAAATCGGTCGATTTTTCTGACTTTGAGCCCCGCTTCATGAAGCTGCTGTTTGTAGTTTCTTATACGATTGTTCTGGGAAACTTGGCAAGAGCGTCCCATATTGCACATCCGATATTCCATATCGACTTCCGTATTGATGAAATAAATTAATTTTTCAGTAAGATTCTTATTACTTTGTAATTTTTTTGCTTCCGATTGGAAGCATTGGAATTGTTCGATTTCCCGATTGTTTCATTTTACCTGGGAATTATGTAGAGCAACTTAAAAATACAACAGTAGAGAAACGTAAAAATACGAAGTGTGAGGGTGTATGTGTATGTGTGGGGTGGGTACATAATGGTCAACTTCTAGGAAAGGGGAAAAATAAACGGGTAAATTGATAAAACCAATCTGAAATGGTAGTTGATAGGTTAATAGTTAATATGGGCTTGATCTGTGCTAAATTTCAGTCCGATTAGTCGGGTAGTTTTCGAGATATCGATGATTGTTTCTAAAACATTTTTTGCCAATATTCCAGAAGCTATCTAATCGATTTTATTTTTCATATCCTTTTCAATTTTCGAGCTATTTCAATTTTTGTTGTTAAAAAAAAATAATTGTATGTGTTCTCTGATTTTTGGAAATCAACCCATCAACTTGAAATTCGGGAGGTTTTCTCTTATGGCCTGAATGTTTTTTATCGAAAATGGGCTGGATCGAATGATTCATTTAAGATATATTGCCATGTTTCTTTGTTTTTCGAAAAAATCGTTGTCGGAATAGCTACGAATTCTTTCGGAACCTTACTACCAATTGTATTGGTATAAATTAAAAATGAGAAAAAAAAGTAGTGCATGAAGTAATTGTTAAGTATCTCCTGCCAAATAGGCTCGATCTATAGCTTGTTTTTCTCTCCGAGTTTTTAATGATTTGTAAAGTTTTTTTTTAATTTATGAAAGACGTGCACCGCAAGGGACTTACCTCTAGCGACAGGTTCAACTTTGTTGTTTTACTGAATCATTTCAACGAAATGAATAATTTGTATCAATTCAGATGTCTGACAATGTGCATCCTTTGAACTTCAATAATTAATTAACACTTTCAATTTACAGTGTCGTAATACTGGACTGATTATGCTGCGCCAAACATGCAACTTGTATTCGCTGGTTGCTGCAGCTCAGCAGCACCAGCAGCAGAGGGGGATGGCAACGTTGAAGACCATCTCAATGCGTTTGAAATCAGTAAAAAACATCCAAAAAATCACTCAGTCCATGAAAATGGTGTCAGCAGCTAAGTACAATCACGCGGAGCGTGATCTGCGACAGGCAAGACCATTGGGTGAGGGAACAAAACAGTTTTATGAGCAAGCAGAGATCACAGCACCTGAAGGCGAACCAAAACAATTGATTGTGGCCATCACTAGTGATCGTGGCCTTTGCGGAGCTGTCCACACCGGTGTTGCACGTAGTATTCGTGATTCCTTACTCGCTGATTCACAGTTGAGGGAAAACACTAAGATCATCTGTGTTGGGGAGAAGTCTAAAGCTATTCTGTCGAGGTTGTTCCCGAATAATATTCTTTTCGTGGCTTCTGAGGTAGGAAGAAAACCACCAACTTTTGGGGATGCTGTTAAGGTCGCGGCTGAGATCATGAACTCTGGGTAAGTTTTTCCTTCTAGGAAGGAATATATTGAAAGATAATGACGGTATATCCTATATAATAAAAGAGATGGGCCATTAATCGAACATGGCGGATTTCATGGAGATAATCGATTGTAACTATTCTCGATATATCGATCATGGAAATCCTATCCTATATAAAAAGCAGAGCACTGTCATGGCGCCCACCACAAGTGTCATGGCGCAACGCTCATGGGCCCTGTGCATTTTTTTAGGGTGAATTCACACGAGCAGTGGTCACAAATGCCGTCGCGTTAGCGAACGAAGTACATATTTTAAAAAAAAAATGAATCGAATAATTGGGAAATAATTTGGAAAAATTTTACAAACCGTTTCCATACTTTGGAAACAAATAGTTTATTAGTTATTAATAAAAAAATGTGGGACCGTATGGTTGGCGAACATTGACCCAAATTTAATAAAATCCATCTCAATCGATGGCAAATAATTTGGAAACATTTAGACAACTATTTCCATAATTTTGAAACAAATAGTTTATCAGTTATTAGTAAAAAAAAACTGTTCGACCGAGTAGTTGGCAAACATTGACCCAAATTAAATAAATACCGCATCAATGGATAAGAAACGGGCACCCGGTAATTAGCACCACATAATTGAAATTTTTTTTTTTT